AAGGTAATATAGACAAAAATTGGTAAAAAGTGAAAAAGATATATTGAAACATAATCAATTTTAATGTGGTCTAATTTTCCAAATTTTTCCGTTTTCTTTCTACTCTTACAAAAATTGATTTCAAATTTCAAATTGCAAGGCTAACAGCCTAACACGTACGCTTACGTAGACACATTGACTCGTTGGTCTTCTCTCATTGCTAGAGTTTTTGCTTTAATGGGTTTTGTTTGCTTCCTTCGCATGTACCATGCAAGCATTTCCTTTTATATCCTCTGGCCAGCATTATAATTTTTTTTTTTTTTGATATGTAAAATTCTCTAGGTCCTCCACATAGCACCCTACGTATTTAAGCATTTTTTTTATCGAAATTCTGATTCATTCATTAAACCGAAATAGTTTCCAAACTGGGATAGACCGATTCAAAATACGGAGATAATTTTGCTAGTCTATCGACTTTGGTATTACAATCCCTTGGGATGAAATTGAAAGAAGAAATTTGCAGATCTTGGGAGAGATTTTGGATGTCATGAATGATTCCATAGATCTCCAGATTTGAACCTTGTGATTTGATGATGTCGATTAGTTGTTTGCAATTCGAGACCACGCTTCCGATACGAAGGGATTGATTCGATGCCTGAAGCAAGCCTTCTCGCATGGCTAAAGCCTCTGCCATGAGCGCGCTCGAAATCTGAGTTGCTCTCTTTGTTCCTTGTACTAGGATCGAATTGTTGGAGGTGCAAATGAGCCAGTCTAGTCCGGCGTCACCTGTGGTCGGATTCCAGGCTCCATCCGACGTATTTAAGCATAATTAGCATTTTTAACCGGTTAATTAATAAGTTTTAATTTGGAGGTTAGTACGGCACCGTGACCGTCTATTTATTTTCGATATATTCCAAAATGATTATGCGAAGTAAAGAACAAAAGGAAACGAAGGATAATGAGGCGCCATACTTTTCGTGCCAATTAGAAACAGGTTATAAATTCAATGTGTGTGGGCCAAAATGTTTTATCACATGATCGTTTTTTTGTCAACCAGACGATATGATCCTACTTATCTTTCTAAATATGAACCCTTATTCTATAAATATCAATTTGCGGGTGAAAGATAAACGATTTCAGATTTTGTTAAGTGTCAAGTTAAACATATTTATAAGGAAACCAAATATATAAGGAAACCAATCCCATACTCCTCTTACGTGTGGTTTTAATATGATCATAATTGTTATCATTTCGTTTCTCCTCTTACGTGTGGTTTTAATATTATCACAATCGATATCATTTCGTTTTTTTTTTGTTTATTATATAAAGAGTACAAATTTAAAAATTATCACATTCCTTAAAAATTCTAGGGTGCAAATGGTTGACGTATTAAAGGAATGAAATTGAGTGGAATTAACCATTCCATTGAATTCCTTTAGAAAATCACCATTTGAAGTAAAATTGCATTCCACTTAATTTTAGTGAACTCCACAAAAAAAAAAGCCTAATTACGCTCAAAATTGTTACTCTATAAAAAAAAAGCAAAAAATAGGTAGAAAATTCTTAATTCCACTCATTTATTTCCACTAATTATTATTCAATTTATTTCTCCATATCACCATCATTTGCACCCCTAGTTCTTCTATTATTTTTTTCGACCGCCGAA